ATAAAAATAAATAATAATTTATGAAATATGAAATATCTATAGTATAATATTTAAATTACAAATATAATATATATAATTTTTGAACTTTTAACAATTAATTTTTGTATATTATTTTATATAAGTAATAACTAGAAAAGTTCTTTAAAGAAAGTATTTGTTAATATTGATAATAATAATAATAATATATTATAAGTATATGAAGGCTTAAATTGTTTTAGTCACAGCTTTATTTATATGATATATATTGATATATATTGATATTAAAAAAAAATGTTTTAGTGCCTCAACGAACGTTTCTGCATCATAGAAGCGAAAACATACCGTATGGATATGAGTATCCCAATGTTGCATATCCAGTAGCACAGTCAATAGAGCACTCCGTTGGACCGTCATCGAAACAGCTTGTAATAGTCAGTTTCATCGGTCTTTTGCTGCTTTTGGCGATTATACAGAATACGCTTAGCGCTGTTAAGCGGAAGGATGCGATAATGGATCTATTATCGTCCAGGCAAAAGCGGGACGTTTACGTTACGCATGATTTTCGTTCCGTGGTACGTAATTTGTGATGATGTTATGTTAAAGGGGACCCTTTCAATCAAAAATGTCTAAAATTCCATAATGCTTAAATGAAATTAATAAATTATATAGAATTTTCTTTTCAATAAGTTTTTAAACTTAAATTTAAATTTTTACGTTTTCGATAATTTTTTGAGATTATTGCAAAATTTATTAATTGTATTCAGAAGAAAATTCTCTCAATTTGAAGATACATTTGAAAAGTTACGAATTAAGTTTCAATTAAATTTTTTATCACTCATCTCAATTCAACCGCGAATATAGTCAGGCAAGTTTACTGGAAACTCGAAAGTTTACTTACCGTGATGAAACATTTCGTTTCTGTTGGCTGAACAAAATTGCTAGAATAAATCATAAATATCAGACTTCGCAGCAAACATTTTTGTGTTCAGTAGTAGATTAAGACTTTTTACGAACTTTTAGACCCCAGAGGAGGAAGAGATTCTTAATAGTGATGCCAGAGTACGCTGCATACAGAGGACGATTTGTCTTGAAAATCGCAAGCTCTTTAGAGATTTGGGCACACCGGGTAAAATGCTGGCAAAGTACTTGACGTAGGTTTTGTTGTTATTATTTTCAACATGGCATGGTTTAACACTAGAAACTTAATATAAAGTTAAAAAATAAAATAAAAGAAAAATACGGAAAAATTTTACGTTTTCCAGTTACATATATAATTGAATTCAATAGAAACGTTTGATAAAAGCAGAATTATAATAAAATTTGCATATCCGTTCATATAGTTCCGATTGAATCTAAATTCAATTAAATATGAACTTAATTTGTATTAAGATTTAACGTTACGGTTTTTCGCAGGAAAAACATAGAAAAATCGTTCAAGTTATCCTCAGGTTGGGATCGCCTTGTGAGAGATGCAGGTGCAGCGGGAATTCGAGGTGAAAACTGTGATGTACTTTATAGAGATTGCGAAATTCCCGTAACGAAGAAGAGACGTAAAAACACAAACATAATAAATAACAATTTTAATTCAACTTATTAATATTTCAGAAGCTCTATGAAACACTATTTATTTCTGCCTTTTGTGAAAATGTAAATTAAGTTATATAAATACCTGTAAAATTGTATAACATATTTGTTCTTTTAAATAGATCGGAAAATTATTAATATCTCAAAATTAGTATTTGTTCTCAGCAAATAGAAATATTAGCATAAATTAATTGATAATGCATATGTATTATATACTTTTTCCGATACATTGTATTGCCGTATTACCAAAATTACGTATTATCAAAATAAATAGGTTAGATAAATAACATAATCGATGATATTAATGATTTTTTAATTACAATATGTTGTGCTGCAGTTCTGATCTGCTACAAACATCGACATCTAGCTTAAACTATTTTAGATAGTAATTCACTATGGGACACACACTTCACTTGCACACTCGTTTTCTCTCTCATTCTCTCTCTCTCTCTCTCTCTCTCTCTCTCTCGTCATCGGAATTATAAGAAAATATCAAATATCGTGAACAAAATGGAGACTTCAATCGCGTCTTCGGCATTTTGTGTGTTGGCCTGTTTTATCGTCCTCTCTTTTTTATAAATATTCGCTCCATCCTGTCAGTTAATTATATAACAACACTCTGAATATTATCGTAAACATTAAGGCATTACATATTTATGAGTTTTATATCTCAATTTTAAGTGTCAGTTACATGATACGCTAATGTGTCATAATACGCTAAACGCGTAAACTTACACTTAAATAGACATGAGATCACTCGTTAGAGATCAGATTTGCATTCCAAAATTTTAACTTTAAACAAAGTTTCACTAAAAATATTTTCCGAAACATGAGATAATATGCTAAATAGATAAAGCTTGTTTGTTTCAAAAGTCGAGATAGAGAAGAATCTTATTGGAAGATATCCAGAGCAGATTCTTTCGATATTTTAAAATGGATTAGACGAGAGTATTAGTCTTCTAACCTCAGCCTTATAAGTAATTCAGATTGATCCAGCCAGAATCCTACGAGCACAAATTCTTTTGTAATCTCGAATGTCTCGAATGTCTCGAATGTCTCCTTTAGACATGAGTCTGAATCTCTTATTACGATCTTACTGTTTCACGTTTGAAATCTATTTGAATCAGTAATCTACTTCGGCTCTCTCTGATTCTATAATATATTCTATAAAGAACTGATTGTGTGAAATTTTGAAATGCAGTTCAACCCATCTATCCTGTAAATTTTAACGCATGTGTTACAATTTTTCAAAGAGAAGTTAAAAAAAACGCAAATATTGAGCTGAGTCGAATTTTACAGATTGTCATCGATTAGGTACATAAGAGAGATACAATAATTAATGAGTCAAATGCATCATTTGTTTAACGCGATTTTATACGTTAATATGCGAGTAAAATACGAAAAATTGCGTTAGCTTTCCAGTGCACGTGTCATTAATTATTTAGTGCATGCTTATGTACCTAATTATCGATTGCGCAATCTGTAAGCCATATTGGATTCGGCTCAATATTTTCACGATTATGTATTTTTTTTAGAAATCTCTTTATAGAAACTAAAATTACGAAAAACTATAAAAGTTAACTTTTAATAACGAGAAATCTTTAAATAGAAAAAATTATCTCCATGGTAGAGAAAAGCGAGGCTGTTTTGTCCGTTTCTCACGATATTGTTTATGTTTCTGAGCAGCGTACACTGATTTAAGGGTCATACTTGTGCTCTCAAGAAGCAATCATAATTGTATAAGGTAATAATAAGTACGTTACTGCAAAAAAATGTTGTATATTGCCGTAAACTTTACTATTTTAAGATTGAAAATGACGGAATAACTCCACTCTACTCTATAAAACACAATGATAGAAAATAAATTATTCGCATTATCTCTTAATTAGTTTTAATTTAATCTTGTAATCGCCGAATCACTTTTGCATTAATTTTACAAATCATTTATAGTATAAAATTGGATTACTATCTACAACAAATTTTTGTCATTGTACGTATTGTACCTCGCAAATTCTCATTTTATTTTCATTAAAATTTTTACTTTTACTTTTAAAATAGGCCGCTGCCTTAAAAAAAGAAAAGCAAAAGAACACAGTTGAGACACATTTTCGTAAGTGATTCGAAGCAGTATTGACAGCTAACAATGAATTCTATTACTTTTCGCTCTTTTATCAAAAGCCTGTGATAATTAACATGTTCACTGCCATTGTCATTCAGCATTTAATTTATATGGCATCTTATAGGAATTAAATTTTATACAAAATTTTTTAACTACTAAATAAAAAATAAATATCATTTAATATAAAATTTTGAATGGCTTAAAAAAATAGATAACGTAAAGTGCGCAATTCAACACATTATAAAATATAGCCTCGTAAGGATAAGATAAAATTTGCTGGGCAAACAACATGTTAATTTACTCAATGGATATAGAGTCATTTATAATCCAAATATATCTGAAATTACATGTTTCTCTTTAACTATTACGTGAATGTTTTGAAAAGATACATCAGAGAAATAATACATTACTATTTATGGCATAAATGTTAATAACTTGTAATAATCCATTATCTAAGGATCGGTTTTTTTTATTCATTATCTATTATAACATATGAATGACTCGGCATTCGATGTTTCTAATTTATAATTAATACATTGGTTGAGAAATAGATAATTAAATTCTAAAATTGAAAAAAAATTATTATATTTAACCAAAAATTGATTCTAAACAAAGTTTTTATGTCAAATTATCCAGAAATAAGTTTCGATTTTTTTACCACTTAAAAAATAAACGGACTAACTTTGCCATTAAAAAGTGCAACTCTCTTTAGAAAGCTCTAAGAAGACATTAAACACTCTATGGTTTTAAGTAACAGCGTGATAACGCCGTAATTGTCGAGGATAAATCTGTCTGCTTGCATGAAATTCTGGCGTCGAAATGTTTTATGATGCGACTATCATTGTGAACGACGACGAGAAGAATGTTGAATATGGAGCCGTGCTTCTTGGCCAGCTCGCTGAATGCACGTCGTCTTTGATGAAGGATAGATTGGAGACCGTATACGCGAGACGTACCAAGACGGTAAAGTATAGATATGTTTCAATCCCTGAATGTATCTGATTGATTAAAAAAACATCGGCAAATATCAAGAAGAATGTAAAAAAAACTTCCCGATGTCGCCTATCATACATATATCAGACCCAATCACACACTACCGATCGATTGAAATCCGATACTAAAGCTCTCCTAAGTAACGCCTTTGAATGTCATGTCACGGTTACTGTTGACACATATATATCGAGGGAAATATACGTATCTCTCTTTTCTTTCTAAATCTCTCAATAAAAAAAGAAACATTGTTTCATTTTTCTTCGTATGAGTGACATTGCAACTGTCACAAGAAAAATATCTTTTAAACAGTGCTTTAATGGGAAATTTGTTCCTGAATTGTAATAGATAATGATGCAATATTATTGAAATTGTGATGAATAATGATGAAATGTTACTGAAATTGTAATGAATAATAATGAAATATTACTGAATATTGAGATCATTAATTGATCCATTTTCAGTATTATTTTATTAAGATTTCATTACAATTCAATATTTTACAAATAATTCAATAGAAAATATTATTATATTTAGCTACGCGTTGATACAAAAATACAATGCGTGTACTAGATACATGCATGTACATCCACTGTAATCGATTCTGTTCCTAAGAAATTTTCATGAACTGAGATGTTCACACCATTTTATATTAACTGCTCACAGTCCTTGCACAATTAACAATATAACTAAAGTTTCCTACAATTCATCGTTCTGCATCATTCTGCATGCTGTTGAAAAAATTGCTTTTACTGTTATATTTATAATATTTATTATTTATTTAAAACTTCCAAAAAGTTAAGTTGTTTCGTATGTAAAATGTGGTAAGCGGAATTTTAATCGTGTCGTTAATCGTACATGAATTGTAAGCATTAATACAGAAAAACTTCTCAGTTTGTAAAAATTTCCGAGGAACAAAATCGATTACTATGGATATACAAATGTAAATTTAACTTGTCTGTAGATAATCTGATTTCGGTTATATAGATCTGATTATACAGAGAGCATGACTAAATTTTACATGCGAGAACCGACATCATCTAGCGACACTTCTAGAAAGATAAATTCAGCGCTTTTCGTTATAATGTTAACTGTTTTCATTATTTTTCAGCAAATTTCATTACAATTATTCAACTAGTTCTAACATTTTAATTATCCTGTTCCGCTTTCATTAATAAATCCGTAAAAATCTATATATTTCGTTCTCATTTCATTACTTTTTAGGTATTTTAATTTTTCTCAGAATTTAGCATATTTCAACATATTCAATGTATAATATACTGTAAAAATATTATATGTTTTGCATTATTTTTTTTTATTATTTATTTTCAATAATTCTCTTTAGGATTCATGATATTTCAGTATAATTTAATACAATCAGTATATAATATCTTTGAATAAATTAGTATAAATATTAAATATATTTGCATTAGTTTTCATTACTTTTCATTACTCTTCATTAATTTTTATTATCATTAAAATTCATAGTATTTCAATATTAAAATTATTTAAGCTGAAATATTTTAATCAATATTTTAATGATTTTTCATTATTGTTTTCAATAAATTTAGTGATTTTTTTCACTCAAACATAATTTTTTGAATATAATCTTGAGATATTTTAGACCGGTATTCATAATCGATTCTTATATTTAAGATCGTCTCAAGAATACAGCCTTAAGACATGAACGAATGAGAGAGCAATATTAATACATTATTTAAAGTGGTCTTGAAATCAGAACGGATATGAACACCAACAGAATTCTTTTATGAACTTATCCCTAAATATCTATAAGACTGTTCGAGATTGCAGTGCTCTGAGAAAAACTGAAATAAACGTCGCGCAGTTAACTTGGTTTTTCAAATGTCTTTTAATTATTTCAAATGATATAACTCTTTTACAAT